TTTTTTTTTTTTTTTTTGGTACTGGGGATCGAACTCTGGCCCTTGCACTTGTGAGGCAGGCAGCGGAACCACTGAGCCAAATCCCCCGCCCCTCACCCTTCCCTATTTACAAAGACTTTGTTTCTATTTTTCCATTCTCCTTTCTTTTGCCATAATTTTGACTACTTTAAGTATTTCAGGTGAAGTGTCCTCTTTTACCTTTGTACTCTTTCCCTGGTATAGCCTTTCTCCCATCGATTCAATTCAGTCCTACCAATTCCTCTTTGACTCTGAACTTGTATTCATAGCGCTAGAGTGGAAGAGCCTGTGGAAATCCTCCTGTCTAACCTGCATTTATTCTAGGTGAGATAGTGCTTTGCCAAAGGAGAGCAGCTCGTGAATCACGATGGAGTTGGGACCAGAGCTCTGGCCTTTCACCTTCTAGGCAGCTACCTTTTTCTGCTTTTGCCTGCTTCATGGTGATTTAGTGTTCTATGCTTTAGTTAGACCACTGATTTCTATATTCCTAGGGCATAGTAGATGCTGTATTAGCCGCTCTCTGTTACATAACAAATACTTGATAGAATCAGCTTCTGAAGACACTGGCAGTTGCAGAAGTTGTGCTTTGGGCCTGTGGTGGCACCTGACAGGTGGGAGTGTGTGGCTGAGCAAAGCTGCTTCCCCGGGATGATAAATGCAGCAGAGGAGGAGGAAGGAGCTGAGTCTTGCTCTCTCCTTTAGCCTTGCCCCCATAGCCTAAAGACCTCCCAGCAGGCTCCACCTCCTAAAGGCCCCATCATCTCTCACTGGTACTACAGGCCAGGGACCAAGCTTTTGACACTTGCACCTTCAGGGGACACTTACAGATCACAGCAGAAGTTCAAGAAGTATTTGTTGGCGAATTGATTGTCTTCATTGCCAAAAAAGCTGGGCTCATGTGAAACTCTGAACTTCATGAAGGTCGGACCTGTGGCTATATTTATCTTATTTACATTGGCCCTTCTGCACCTGGAAGATCATTTCTCTTTTGTAACCAGTTGAACTCTTTCACCTTTTCCCAATGTTGCCTTAGTGCATAGATTTGCCCATGACATATGTGCTTGGATTCCCCTGAAAATTTTGATGAAAATCGAATGAAAAAGCCATTGGAAACAACAACAACAACAACAACAACAACAACAGCAAAACAAAACACACTACATTAAACTTTTTAGATTAGCTGATTATTTTGAGGCAAATGTTTATGCTTATTTTTTGAGTTTTATTGTTGCTAAATGGTTTTGTGTCGTTTGTGCCACAGTTTATAGCTCTCATCTTAGAATGCATACAGGACCAATTGATTTCAGGTATTACAATGAGAATATTTTGAAATGACCCGATATTCTAAGTGCAAAGAAATATAATGAAACATTTTCTTGTGTGAAGGTTTGTATGCTCTCATTTACAGTCTTCCCATTTACCCCGGTTTGGTTTCTCAAGAATCATATGACCAGCGTTCTAGAATCCAGGTTTTAGAGTGTCCTTTTATTTCAGTCTCCACAAGGTTTTTTTTTTGATTTTATGAGAAATCTTTAAGGGAATTGAAATAAGATCGTGCATAAGTACGGAAAGCAGATGGCAGGACAGGTTAGAATGACTTGCAGAGTATTTTTGATGTCTGGCTTTAGCGTAAGTCCTTTGTATGTGTGCCTGATTCATAGAAGGTGGCTTTTAAACTTCCCTCTCATTTTGTAGTACAGCCTTGCACATAATTAATTCACAGGTTTACTGATTGATTACCTTTGGTTTCCACAGCACGCTTAGTTATTTTTGTTAGTGCTAGTGAGTGCACTGTTTCTTGCTGGTGAGATTCCTTCCAAAGCAGTCAGCACACTTTGTGCTAATTCCCTTGAGGATGGTCTCCTCAGCCGGCCTCCATAGCCAGTGTCTCACCTCCAGCACAGAATCCAGCTGCCACCAAGAGTCTTTGTGTGGCCTTACATTGTTCTAGGGCAGTGGCGATGTGACGATGGCACGTGTGCCATGGTGGGCTGTGTGTCATCACTGAAAGCTCTAAGAGGGTTGCCATCCTGTGCTGGGTGCTACTGTGGTGGGCAGAGCCATAGGGCCAGCAGGGAGGAGTGTGTGGAGCATTGGAAGAGCTTGATTGAACGCAGTCT